GACAGGTTGTGTCAGGAGGAGGCGGGGATGACAGGAAGGACTGGACATGGGATGAGGCTGGGGGTGGGGAGATTTTAAAACTGATGACCTGACACATCCTGTCCATCTTCTTTCCCACCTATCCACCCCTCCCACCTCACTGACCAATCCCCACTATTCCCTACCTGCACTCACCTATCACCATCCCACCTACCTTCCCCAGCCCCGCCCCTCCTCTCTATTTATTTCTGAGCTCCCTTCCCCCTTCCCATTTCTAAAGAATGGTCCTGACTTGGAATGTCAACTACCCTGCTCCTCTGATGTTGCCTGGCCTGCTGTGTTCCTCCAGCTCCACACTGTGTTATCTCATTACCTCATTGTTTCCTAGTTCATACTTAGCTGAATTTTCCTTGTCAATAGTGTTGAAATCTTCTCTTGTTTTTGCAGCTTTGTTCTTGTTTCCCGTTCCTTGCAACCTGAGCTCACCCATCACTAAATTTTGGGATGTTTGTGGAATACCCAATTCCAATGAGTTGTCCATCCAATGGCAATTGTCCATCATAATTTGTAACTGGATTTGGTGTGACTGCAGAGCTCCAATCTGATCTGATGTTTGTGGCTTTGCTCTGTTCTGTCTACTATATACTGCTTATGAAGTTTAGTTTGCAAGTAGCCCTGTTTTGCAGCTTCACCAGGTCAACACCTCAGACTGGTGCTGCTCCTGGCACACCTTACTGCATTCTTCATTGAACCAGGGTTGACTTCCTGGCTTAGAGGTAATGGTGGAGCAAGAAATATATCGGGCCATGAGGTTACAGATTGTGAATGAATATAATCTTTCTGTTGCTGATGGACAATAGCACCTCATGGATGCCCAGCATTGAGTCATTAGATCTGAAACCTCTCTCAGTTAGCACAATGATCATGCCAATCCTACCAATACCATCATGGGCAGATGCATCTGCATCAAGCAGATTGGTGAGAAGGAGGTCCAGTATGTTTTTCTCTCTGTTGGCTCTATCACCATCTGCTCTAGACAGAGTCCAGCAGCTATGTCCCCTAACACCCAGCCCATTCAGCCATTGGTGGCACTACCTAGCCTCTCCTGGTAATGGGCATTAAATTTGCCCACCCTGAATACATTCGATACACCGGTCACCCTCCATCATCCTCCATGTTGTGTTCACCATGGAAAAGAACTGAGCCCAGGGGTTGCTGGTAATCAGCAAGTGGTACTTTTGCTCAAGTCTGACCTGATACTATGAGCTTTCAATAAGTCTGGAGTTAATGTTAAAAACCCCTAGTGCAATTCCCTCCTAAATATATACCATTGTGCCTGGTTGGTACGTCCTGTTTCTTTTAGCGAGTGACGATGGTGTTGTCCAGGATATTTTGTGTGTAATGTATGATTTTGTGAGAATGACAATGTCAGGCTGATGCTTGAGTAGTCTGAGGACAGCTCTCCTAATTTTGGCACATGCCCGAGATGTTACAAAAGGTTGACAGGGCTGTGTGCTATTATCATTTCCATTGAACTGGTCAATCCTGGTGGCGCATCTGGTTTTATTCCTTTTATCAGACTCTAACAGATGCAGTACAGCTGAATGGCTTGCTAGGCCATTTCACAGAGCATTTGAAAGTCAACTACATTGTCAATATGGTGTCACATGTAGGTCAGAACAGAAGAAGTTGGAGGATACTCCTTCTCTCAAGGACATTAGCAAACAAGTTTTTTCATATATTGATAATATTTTCATGGTCACCATTAAATTAATATTTTAATTCCATATTTATTAAGGAAATTCAAATGTTACCTCTTCAGTGCTAGGATTCAAACCATTCTCCCCAGAATATTAATCTAGGTCTCTGGATTATTAGTCCAGTGACGATCTACTATACAACAGCCTCCCTAAATTATATTGAATGATCTGAATTTTGAAACCCAGTTTAGACCAGTTCATTCTTGAGGCAGTTTGCCAACAAATACTCATTGTGAGCCTGAGATAACAAGGTGTAGAGCTGGATGAACACAGCAGGCCCTGATGCTGCTTGGCCTGCTGTGTTCATTCAGCTCTACACCTTGTTATCTCAGATTCTCCAGCATCTGCTGTTCCTGCTATCTCATTGTGAGCCTATTGACTCTCACAGCTATCTCAAGTACACTTAGTCACACCCTGTGTCTTGCAAAATTTCATTCCATTCTCCCATCTCTGTGCCACGTGTACTGATGATGCAACCTTTTATTTCAGCAATTCCAATATGTCTTCCTTTTTCCATAAACAATGATTCTTGTCCATTTTAATTGTTGACATTGTTTGACCCTTTTCTTCTAGGTATGCTCTCACCCTCCCCTTCTAGAATAATGGTAATGTTCCCCATGCTCTCACTCTCCATTCCACTAGCCTGCACATTTAGTGGAACATCTTCTGTCATTTCCACTACCTTCAAAATGTGACTTTACTATTAACACATCTTCCCTCTCTTCGCCTTTCAACGTTCTGATAGCAACGCACTCTCTGTGATATTTTGATCCACTCCTTGATCACTCCCTATGCCTTTCCCTATGAGTGCAAGAGACACATTAACTTCCCTTTGGTCTTCTTTCTCCTCATCATCCAAATTTTAAGCACTTTTTTTGAATGAAACAATGATTTACACATTTCTTACAAATTAGTATTGCATCAAAGACTTACTGAAAGTCAGTGTACATGAGACTATATCAACTTAAATTTCCACAAAAGATCGTGTCTGTAGCCTCCTCAAATAAAATCGTTATCAGATTTGTCAAGCACCAGTTTCCTCCTGATATCCACTTTGACTGCTTCTAATTATTTTCTCTGCATTTGCATATTCAGTTCAGGATTCCAACATTTTCTCAGATAACAAGTGAAAATAACTGTCCTATATTTATCTGGGTTGAGGGATTAAGGGGAGTCAGTTGGTAATGGAAATGTGCAGAGAATCAGGGGGCAAAGGGGTGGTGATTTATGCATAGTGAGGAGAGGGCTTTTGGAGCAGAGAGGCATAGGAATGGAGGGGGATTAGAATGGGGGTGGAGAGGTAGGGGAAAAAAATTAATGGAGGGTGGGGAGATGGAGAGAATAGATGGGGGTCAAAGTTATTACAGACTTTGGATTTTACAAGAGACGTATCTTTTAACATGTCTCCTTTAACTTAATTTCCAGATGCACCCCTGTTTAGAGTCATGCCTATGTGGTCTGATTATCATGGCTGTGTAACTCTAGCAGAAACCTATTGAAATCCAGTGAGCACTTACACACCTATACGCACAAATAAAGCTAACAGTAAAAGGCTGTTTTTGTGAGACACAGGAAGCGCAAGAAAGTAACTACTGTGCGGAGGGACCAAACAGCTACTGCTGTGGAGAAGCAGGTCGCTTGTGAAAGTTTGCTGACTATTCAGAAGGAAGGGGAAGAGGACCAGCAGGGCTTTCAGAGATTAATGGACCAGGAGCTGCTGACTTGTAACTTTGCTGACTAGGGAAGTTAGGTCTAGAAGAGTCAGGCTCAGTGGAATGACTTTTGAAAAACACTGGAAATTGTGACCAAATGCAACAGGGAAAAGTGAGTCTATTGGAGAGCAGAGTAATATTGGACTTGTTCTTGTAATGCTGCATGTTTGCAGAAGTGCAGTGCACAGCAAAAGTTTCTGTAGCCATATTTCAATTGTGTTCATTCAATAACGCAGAAATACCTCTTCTTTAGTGAGGCACATTGAGGTTGTAGACTTGTATGCTGAACCGTTGATTGCAGACGTTCCATCACCCTGCTAGGTAACATTGTCAATGTGCCACCGATGAAGTGTTGGTGTTCTGTCTCGTTTATTATTTATATGCCTAGGTTTGCTGGGGTAGTTGGCATCACTTCCGGTTCTGTTTTTCAGTGGTTTGTATATCGTATAATAAGGTACATTAGACGCAAATAAATTAATATTTAATATATGATTGTTTGTCACAGTGAAAACCTTAAAACATGAAATATTGTTAGTTGTTTGAGAAATTCACTTTTCTTGAGAAATTCGCTTGTAGATCTCTATTGAGATGGTAACAAGGGGAAGGGGGTTTGTAGCGTGTGAAGGCAGAGGCAAGATTGGTCATCCTCCTCGGTTTAGAAGTTGCTCCCTAAGGTACCTTAGTGAATTTCTGCAGTGCATCTTGTAGATAGTACCCACTGCTGCTACTGAGGGTTGGTAAAACGGGAGTAGATGTTTGTGGATGTGGTACCAATCAAGCAGGTTGCTTTGTTTTGGGTAGTGTAAAGCTTCTCGAATGTCATTGGACAGCACTCACCAGGCAAGTGACTTGTACCTTGTGGACAGACTTTGAGGATTCAGGAGATGAGTTGCTCACTGCAACTTTCACTCCTGCTCTTGTATCCACTGTATTTTCAGTCTAAAGCTGTTCTGTTCTTGCTGTATTTGAACATGGACTGCCTCAGTACCTGAGAGTCACAAATGGTATTGAACATTGTATCATCATCAGTGAACATCCCCACTTCTGACCTTATAATAGAGGGAAGTTCATTGAAGAAGCAGCTGGAAATGGGCCGAAGATATTACCTGAGGAATTCCAGTAGAGATGTCCTGAACTGAGATGACTGACCTCCACTATTTAGAAAATGTTTACATCAGGAAAAACAAAGAAAGACAGAGGGAAGGGGGTTAGAGAGGGGAGGTAAGGTGAGATGCAAGTGCTTTGTTTTAACGGTGTCACCGTGGCTGCCAAATGCAGCGTGACTGACAACTGGACTGCCACTGTTCGGAGGAAGGGTCCAGACCCGGAACGTCAGCTTTTCCTGCTCCTCTGATGCTGCCTGGCCTGCTGCGTTCCTCCAGCTCCACGCTGTGTTACCTCTGACTCCAGCATCGGCAGTTCCGACTATCTCTGGGACAGCCACTGTGCCGCGCCCGTTTTTGCAGCTCCGTTCTCTCGAGCAGGCGGGAGCGAGATCTGGGCACTGTGCCCGCGCGCCAAGAGCGCGCTTCACTGGATTGCCAACGTAGCGCGTGCCGGAAGCCGTGCGCGTCAACGCCTGGGCTCATGTCACCAATACAGAAGCCGGAAACCCAGTCAGCACCGTGAGGGAGCTACAGTATATGCGGAGAGCTGAACAAACCACTTACAACATATTCACACTGACACTGACAGAACGCTGTAAGGTAAGTAGCATGTGTGTTAAACAAGAGCGGAGACATTTGAGAAGTTATCGTTTTTGCATGCAAAAACGGAAGTTGCTGGAAAAGCTCAGCAGGTCTGGCAGCATCTGTCAGGAGAAACCAAAATTAATGTTTCGGGTCCGGTGACCCTTCCTCAGAGTTCAGGA